AATCCATAATAATTACTTTTTCCACGAACCTCGGAGTTTAAGAACGATGAAGGGCTTGCTGCGATAAGAAAGGTAACTTTGATATCAACGCTATTATTTAACCTCATAAACATTATAATACTGAAGAAGAGAGCCTGTGGTCTTCTTTGAAGGTAGTCATGCCTATTAAGACTTACATGTCTACGTTTTTTTCAGACAGATGCATGACCATTCAGTAAGTTTATTTTTCAGGACTTTGTGTACTAGAGTACTCCGCTTGACAGAAAATAAGGTTTATAGTAGCCTTCTGACCTTGCCCCCAGTATAATATAATGAAGACTGGGAAGACTAACGATTTAACATTGTTGGACAAAAAAGTAAGGCACGATTTAGTGCGTTATAACATTTATAGTCAAACGCTAATCAGAGTGACTCTAATTCCTGTCTTTACTGAATATTTGATAAAGTTGTACAGCTTTTTTCTGAACTAGAATATTTCCGTTATATTGGGTAGGTTTATCTCTTACAGTGAATTTCTTTTAATGGTCATTATTGCTTCGCATCATTTTCAACAGCTTTGGAGGCGCTCAGTCATTTTGGTTTCTTAACTACTCGGTATGGGTGCCACCACTTCAAAAGTTCTAGATATTGAGGAAGTTGAGGAAATTTCCAAGGAAACTGGATGTAATTATGGGTTCCTTTATTACTTGTATCTTAGTTTCGCCCAAACAGATTCATCGACTCTACAATCGTTATGTTTCATTAGATCGGTCGAAGGCAGGACATCTAAAGTAAGTTCCCCCTTTATTTCAAGAGATTTTTAGGCGTCAAGATTTTCTCCTTATTCCTGAATTGGCTATTAACCCATTGGGCGATCGAATTATTAACGAATTCTTCAAAGGGGGGTAAGTGTGCATTTCCTGTTAAGTATTCACGCGGTTTGTCAACTTTTAGATTTCATAACGCTTCTAAAATCATTTTTAAATCGTAAAACGGGCTGCATGTTCCTTTTGGCTTTTGATCGTAATCATCAGAGTTACCCTATTAACACTATTCCTCGATAATATACAAATAGCATAACTTAAGGAAGTTAGTTTTCGTTTCTGTATGAAATAACGTTTGCGATTTGTTAAATCCAAAATATAACTAGGTCGTTCTAAGCGGATATGCAAATAAATTTATATCCGCGGTTTATCGGGTCGTTTTTTATTGCCAAATTCAGAACTGGCCGATATTAAATTACTATTCAAAAGATCCAGTCTTAATGCCTTACCAAGTTTATGACATTTCTGTGTCGTTGAAGACTATGCCTTCGCAGATACTGTCAGTGCCAATAACTTCAGCAATGATGTTGCAGCATTTGCACAACCAAAATTGTCAGTCTTGTCGATGT